TTGCCTAGCAACAGTTGGTCACATAATTTCTGAGACATGGTTTGCTCAATGAGGAAGTGAAGCCTAAGATTTCTAAGATGGCAGACAGCTCTCAAGAAGCTCCCAAGATGGCTTCCATATGCAATGCCCTCCACATATCCCCCTTTTTTACTTTTTCAAAGAGAGGAGAAAAGCCTGGGGGAATCATGCCTGTCTTAAGTTGGAGTCATTTATCGAGCCACACGTCCATTCTTACCCATCATTGGAGAATCCCATAGCTATGATGGGTTTCCTGTCTTAGGTGGGAGGACTTATACAGCTGTTATAGGCTCAGACTCTCTTACCCGTCTTTGGCTAACCAATTCAGCGCCTCAGGCAGGAGCAATGTTTAGGCTCCGCGATACTCCATCTCCAGGTTGTGGTAGTGGACTTGGATAGGCTGCATTTTTATGGAGTCATCAATTTGGCGTTTAAGGAAAGCCACGAGCTTATTAAAGAGAACAGGTCCCAAAGAGCAAACAATCAATAAACCCAGAATTGGACCAAGCAAGGGGAGAAAATATGGGAGAAGTCCATTCCAGGCAGTAAAGAAAGGGTTATCGGTGAGTTGTTTTCTTCGTTCCAGAAGACTTTCTTGCAGTTGATTGAGCTTGTCTCGAACAATGCCAGATTTGTTGGCGTAAAAGCAGCAGCGTTCCTGCAAGGCAAGATAGAGACCCCCTGTTCTGCCATGAGGAGGTCTAATCCACGTTTATTTTGGAGTACTACTTTTGTAAGGGAGTCTAATTAGTCTTGAGGTCCACCCCCATCAGAGATGTGGGGAGGAGCAGTTAAGTTCCAACAAAGGGTTTTTCTTTGATTATCAAGTATGCAGGGTTCTTCACGGCGGCTCGAGATGCCTGAAGTTCCTGCCGATCTGAAAAGGTTTTAATCTGTGTGGCCGTGAAATAAGTTTTGTTATTGTGAATGTGTGTGGTGCGTGATTGTAGCAAGAGATGTGAAGTGTGGATTTGAAAATTGTACAGGTGCATGGAGGAGGTGTAAACGAGTAGGTAGTGGGTTTATTAATGCAATACCAACTGTGTAGATATGTGGTTTGTCCGGAGCATATACCTGTTGTGAGTGGTGTAAAGAAAGTTGAGTGATCTTACCACTCATATACAAGGAATGTGGTGATCAGAGGTTGTCAGAATTGGGCCAGGGTTAAAACCAGCAGAGATAGTGTTGAAGAGGTAAAACAGGACCAAGTATTTAAGAAGAATCTTCATTTTGTTGATCTGTGGAAGGAGAGAGAGGTATCTCAGGGTTTTATCATCCCTGGATGAATTATTATCATTTGAATTGATTTGTTTAACCAATCTTTCTGGTAGCCAACGAGCAGCATCCATTTTTTGGGAATAAACGCAAACAGACCCTCTGCCCCATATGAGGACAGGGTCTGGGCCATTCCACATATTGTCTAGTGGATCTTCCCACAAAACTGTGGCAAATTTTGTCTTAGTAGTTGAATGCCAGAAGCACTCAGCAGCTGAGTGTCCATCTTTATCAAGTGTTAGAAAATTTAGGACAAAAAGTGTATGTGCTAGAAGGTTTTTTGGTGAACCTTTAATTTGTAAAACTTCTCCCTTTTTTAATTTTTGGAAAGTATTTTTCAAGGAAAGATGAGCACGTTCAACAATACCTTGTCCCTGGGGATTGTATGGAATTCCCGTGACATGTTTAATATGGAGTTGTTTACAAAAAGAACTAAAATTGTTTCCGGTATATCCTGGGCCATTATCTGTTTTAATTTGTTGAGGCTTACCCAGAACAGAGAGTGAGGCAAGAACATGAGAAATAACATGTTTACCAGCCTCTCCGGTTTGTGCCGTAGCAAAAATGAAACCACTAAAGGTGTCAACAGTGACATGTACGTATTTAAGTGTATCCAATTCTGCAACATGAGTGACATCCATTTGCCATAAAGCATTAGGCATAAGGCCTCTAGGGTTAATACCCAAGTGTGGTGTAGGCAAAAGAGTAAGACAGGCCGGACATTGTTTTACAATTTGTCGAGCCTGTTCTCGAGTAATTTTAAACATGAGACGAAGGGTGTGAGAATTCAAATGATGTAATCCATGGGCAGCAACAGCATCTGAAAGATTTGTGTCAGTTTGAGTACGAACCAAAAGAGAATGTTTTGTGGCCAGATCAGTGCGATGATTACCCTCAGTTAAAGGGCCAGGCAAGTCTGTATGTGTGCGCAAATAGCCAATATAAAAAGGTAACTTCCGATTTCTAATGAGAGACTGTAATTGGAGGAAAAACTGTGTGGCCTGAGAAACTTGTTTAATTTGTGCGGCAGTTTCCAGAAGTGGTACAGACATAGCAATGTAAGCACTATTTGTGCATAAGTTCAAAGGTGCATCAGGAAAAGCAGAGAAGACTGCCATAACTGCTTGCAGTTCAACCAATTGAGCTGATGTAGAGGAAGTGGTGAACGTAACTGTTTGATCAGAAAATGAATAAGAAGCAGTTCCAGTGGAGGAACCATCAGTAAAAACCAGTAAACCATTTTTAACAGGATGAAGCAAAGTTTGTACAGGGAAAACAAAATCATGGGTATATAAAAAATGTAAGAATTTATCTGGAGGAAGATGGTTATCAATAGTTCCAGTAAAGGAAGCACATGCAATAGGCCAAAAAT